GTTCTATGCTTCTTCTCCAGACAAGATCTTCCCAGAACAGCAGAGAATCAATTGAAAATGGTGTACGTGAATTTGTGTTTAAAAAAAAAGGCAAAAGTAAAATATTTTATTCCCCTTACTAGATTTCTTTTTTATAATGCATTCGTAAGTTTGAATGGCTTTCTTTATCGTTTAAATCGGAGTAAATATCTCCAGATAAGGGGAGTGAGGCACAAGTTTTTTACTCATAAGGAAGGTTACAATTCTACAGAGTAGGAAAAGCAGATCTACCTTATCTTGCAAGTTGGACATACCAGCACGAACATGCGTGCATTTATTGATGGAGACACATAGCCATTTCTGTGTTGTTATTGGTAGGTGCTGCCACTTCAGCTTGTTAACAGTGACAAAAGTCCTAGCCAGTCCTGTACCAGCTTCACAGTCTCCGCTGTGTGTCTGCCCGTTGTTACAGTCACTGTGTTAATCCAGCTTGCTGAAGCTCTTCCTCTCCTGCTCTGGCCCTCCACTTTTCTGAACATGATGTTTTCCCAATTATGGGAGATGTGAAGTCTCATCGAACTTGCCTCTGAGCACTCTGGCAGAACTTTGTCCAAGACATATTTGTTTGGGCATTTCTTCCCATGCAATGTACAATCTCTGAAACCCAATGGAGGCTCAGCTACAAGTCAGTTCTGACTCAACAGTAATGAGAGAGAACAATATTCTTAACCAACATCACAGTTTAATGTCATCAGTTCTTCTTCAGAATTCCTTATTTATTGTCCAACTTTCACATGCATATATTGCTGTTGTGTGCCACTGAGTCACTATGTACAACCCTAAGTACAGCAGCCCTGAACCCTGCCCTATTTGTGCCAGCCTTATTGTCTCTGACACACCTACCCTCATTACCCCAGTCATTGAATCAATCCATCATCGATGATCCTCCATCCTTCCAAACATGACGTCCCTCTCCAAGGACTGGCCCCTCCTTGCAATATGCCCAAAGTATGTCAGACGAAGTTTCAGAATCCTTGCCTCCAAGGAGCAGCCTGGTTTCACCATCTCCAGGATGAACCTGTTTGTCCATGGTATATTCAATACTCTTCAACACTCTTCTCCAGCACCACAGCTCAAAGATCAATTCTCCTTCTATCATCCCTAGTCATTGTCCAGCTTTCTGACACATAACAAATAATTGTGAATACTATGGCCTGATCAGGCACACCTTAGTCTCCAGACCATACATGCTTATGAAGCAACTGAAAATAGAATGGCTTAGGACCGACACAACTTAGTTTTTAAGTTACATTTTTGGTCTTTCGCATTTTACAGAGGACCTTCACAGCAGACTTGCCCAATGCATCATTTGATTTTTTGACTGCTACTTCCAGACAAGCTGATTGTGGATGTAATAAAGTGAAATCATTGACAACCTCAATCTTTTGTTCACTTTTATTTATATTTATATTTAATTTATATTTATATTTTTTATGCATCTTTATGTTCATATCCCAGTTCTGTCTCTAAGATGTCCTAGAAGTCATGATACTGTAGCAACAATGACCACCATACAGATCCCCATCTTGCTGTCGCAATACCGCTCTGCTCTAAAAGGCAAAAGAGCTGCTTGGACAAATGCTGAGTCCCAGACTGGTGCACGAATAGTCCAAGAAAGTGTGGCACTAGGAAACCATTCATGGAGAGAAACTCAAGTTGATTTGTAACCTGACCGAGTTATTTTATGAAGAACTATAATATAATCACAGTTCTCCTCCTGTAGTACATTTAACAGAAAACTCACACAATTGGGTCAATTCCAGCGCAAAGTAACCTCTGGTTGTAAATCTTAATGAAAGCAGCCTGCTCATCTTGCCCCTCCCCTCACCCCCACGCCAATAACACCCACAGGGCTCCTGTAGTAAATTTAAATTGTCAATAATTAGGGAGCTTCTCATTTTAAAAGTTGATAATGAGATTGACAGTCCCTTTATGTAGGGAAACCAAATCCTAATGTGACTATTTCCCCCAGTGTAATTATTATTAGTGCCCTCTTCATGCTAGTGTTAACTCTGAACAGTGTATTATGTAGTCATCAGATCCAGGGGCTCTTGAAACCCCAGTCTTCCTGCCTGGATTCTCTGCTGTAGCTCAGGCTTTGACTTGAGATTGATGCCTCAGTCTTCTGTAATCATATGCCTTTGGCAGCCTGGTCTCCAGTTATCCTCTTCCATGCTCTCTCTTAATATATTTGCAATAGTTAACACCTTCTGGTATAAGGAGCTCTGGTGGCCTAATGGTAAGGAGCTGCACTGCCAACCCAAAGATACATGGTTCAAATCCACCACCTGCTCCACAATATCCTCTCATGTGATTTACTGCCTCTGAAAACGTGCTGGAGGGTCAGTTCCAACTCGATGGTACAGAACAACAAGACTTGAGCAGATTTTCCCACTTCACTTAGGTTCAGCCTCCCAAGGACCCCCTGTAACAAGGAGACAGGGCTATATTTTCATTAAACTTCCCACTTCCTGGTGCCAAGTACTGAGCTAGTCTCAGGATGCAGACAGAGAAAGCTGACTAGAGGAGACAGACATGTAATCTCATAACTAGAATGTGATTAATGCTAACTGAGAAAAGTTTGTGGAAGATGACACATGAGGAAGGATGAATTTTGAGGTAGACTTACAGGAATTGTATATATTTTGCTAGTAAGTGGTATATATTGTAGGCAAGAGAAAAAGAGTAAGTTCAAAGACCCATAGCCAAAAAAATACACGGTGTGTCTGGGGAGCCAAAAAGTGGCCTCATATGATTGTCCATTTGTTGCAATAAATTGCTTTGGAACTCAGTATGAGGTAAGACCTTGGGCCACATCCAAGGAGTGTCCTTTTTGCAAATAACAGAGAAACCTAGTTTCCCATTTTGCATGTCCCCTGATGGTTCCATCTGAGCAAAGTGTAGTGTATTTTCGTTCTGGAATTTTATTTTACACAGAAGCATACAAAATCGCAACATGCCTTGACCAATTTCAATGCCGGCTTTCCTTATGTTGCTTTATAATTAGAAATCATTGACTTGACGTTCCACAGCAGTGCCTATACTGGTGGTGAAAGCTTTATGGAATTGTTTATTTTTAGTTTGGCAAAGGCGAGGCAGCAAATATCTCAATTAGTAAACTAAAACAGCGTGAATGAGAAATGCCCACAAGGAGAGCCGGATTCTGAAAGAACTGAGTCAGTTCATTGAAGAAGCTCTCCCATCAGTCACCATATTTGGTTGGAGCTTAAAGATCCAACCTAACGTGTGTGCATAGCACATCAGAATGTACCGTGCAGCCAGAAGTGCGGGCCTTGGGCTCCTTGGGTTCTTGTTGGCAAGTATCTCCCTCAGAAACTACTGTGATGGGACATTGACCCAATGGTATGGGGTCCATGTTGCCTCTGACTGTGGAAGCTTTTTTAAAAAAATAAATAAATGCATATAGCATTTTCTTTTTATGTGACCCAGAAAGAAATTGGGAGAAGTTATTAAATTTTCATATTTGTGTTTATATTTATATGCATGAATTCTTCTTGTTGTGTGTCATTGAGTCACTTGCAACTCATAGCGACCTGATGTTCAACAGTCCTAAACCATGATCTATCCTATGCCAATCTTATTGTCTCTGACACACCTACCCCCATTACCCCAGTCAATCCATCTCACTGAGGGTCTTCCTGTCTTGCACTGTCCCTCCACCCTACTAAGCATAATATTCCTCTCCAAAGACTGGTCCCATCTTGCAACATGTCCAAAATATGTCAGACAAAGTTTCAGAATCCTTGCCTCTAAAGAGCAGCCTGATTTGACCCTCTCTAGAATGAACTTGTTTGTTCTCCTAGCAGTCCATGATATATTCAATACTCTTCTCCAGCACCACAGCTCAAAGGCCTCATTTCTCCTTCTATCATCCATTCTGAAAATATCTTATGAAAACCTAGATTTGGCATTACAGAATAATTTACTAGCCCTGTGTACAGCACCTTCTATCTTTGATATTTCATCTTAAGTTTTGAGGGAAAACAGATACAGTTTTATTCAAATCTTTGTTTGGAAATACTGGAAAGCATTATGCTGAGTGAACTAACTCAGACTCATAAGGACAAATACTGCATTATTATTATTATTGTACAAATACAAGAATAACAGGTAAAGAGTGAATGGCAATGCAAGGGGGCAAAGGGGTAGGAGAGAGGGGTGAGGATGGGCAGGGGGGTGGAATCATCAGCTCACATTGTTTGGTGGGTGGAAGGAGAGGGTAAAGAAAAGAGGAAAGATCCAGGGGGACCTGGAAAGGTAAAGTAGGGGTGGGCATAGTTCAGTGGTGCTTAATTTTATAAAACACAATGAGTGGGAATGACTGTACGAAGCACAACGTGACTGAAGAATAGTGAGACAATGTATATGAATTTTGTATGCAAACCAATATAAAATACTTTTTTAAAAAAAATTGTGCTGCCAACTCAAAGGTTACACGGTTCAAATCCAGATGCTTTGCAGAGAAAAAATGGGCCTTCTCCTCTTGTGCAATTTACTGCTCCTGAAGACCCATTGCAGGGTCAGCTATGAGTCAGTTCTGACTCGCAAGTACACAACAACCAACAACAGACTCTTTAGGAATATTGACTATCCAAAAGATGAAAGATTGTGTGGTGGTACAAAATAGATTATAAGAATATTACAGGAAAGAAGAGAGGGTTGTACATAAAATTTCCACTATTTGTCATGGTTTTTTGTCAAGGTTAAATTCTAATGGTTTGAAAAATTTTTATTTTTGTCCATTTGGATTTATGGCATGTATTTAGTGTTGTCTGAAAGAGCCCTTTGGATTTCCCCTCGAATACGGTTCTGTGAAAAGGTGGTTGCCTTCGGAGTCTTAGCAATTTCCTACATCTCAGCTCTCTCCGGCCTGTAGGGGACACAGCGGGGGTTGTGCACCTGCCGATTACATTTCTCTCTGTCTCCTCTCTGTGTCGCAGGCTGGAAAAAGATAGCATTCAGCAGCGCTTCAGCAGTGAAGCGAAGGCCCAAGCCCTTCAGGCCCGGCAAAGAGAACAGGAGCTGACACAGAAGATACAGCAAATGGAGGCCCAGCATGACAAAACTGGTAGGTGGTAGGGAAAGATTAGAGCCTGGGCACTCGCTCACAAGCCAGGCCCACGCCTTACTGTGAAATGACATCAGGAACACCTGTAACCTTTGGCTGGCCGAAGGGAGCAGATGCTAACTACACCGGAGATTCCGAATTACATATTAGTTAGCGTTTAAAAGAGAAAATGGAAAGTATTGCCCACTGTCTGTTGATTTCAGAGTGCTGCTCCCACATCTGTTGCACCATCTGGATTATGAGTTTATTTACCTGTGTTCAAGAAACGTAAAGCTGAGAGAGACCACAACAAAGTAGAAAAACAAAGGGCTTATTTTTGGCTGGGTTTTCAGGCACACATGTTATATAAAGAAAATAGCATCAGATGCTCTGCGGGAAATGCTCTGAGCTTACAGTCAGAGTCTCCTGAATAGGATTGAACAGTTCCCACAGAACGCACATTATAGCTGCTCTAAAAGCCTAATGAGTGTGCTTCAGCATCCAAACTGGAGGAAAGCTTTAGCCATTAATCGGTTCTTAATTCACTGTCGCAGCTGGATGTAATTCAGCGGCTCCAAATTGATATGTTCCTTTATTTAATCTTTGCAGTTTCGAACATTTTTAGCATTTGCATTATTTCCCCACTTGCCCCCGCCCCGATCTCGAGTGATGTTTAATCCTTTGCATTCTTCAAGTTCTCACAACTGCCGTTAAAATTCGCTAATACAAGGCGCTGGCCACAGCTGGCAACTTGGCTAAAAATTGTCATCTTTTCATCGCGTTGGCGCGACTCTACAGACGGCGTTGGCCAGTAACTCTTTACCTTTAATTTGAAAGTAAAATGCACTTTGAAAATCGGCCGTTTGGTTTGTTCAGTCACAGCATTATGTAGTTCCTTTTGCTTTTGAGTTGCATGTCACAGACAGTGTTAGTCAAAACAAGACCGTGTCTGTCATTGTAATTCCACACCACACACTCCACGTGGAGTGTACTATTAAAAAAAAAAAGTTTAACTGATCGTTTGTCTCCCAGAGAGAGAAAAATACTTAACTTTAATGCCTTCATGTACTTTGTGCTATATACATTTTGCCAATCATCAGCTACTATTGAGAAGAAATATTTTATACTGAAAGGTAGTTTGACGTGATTTAATATGTATTTGGTAGCATAGTAAAAAAAAATAATCTTTTCTTCTATAAGTCAAAAATTGCTGACATAAAATTTATTCAAGAACCTATTCACTTATAAAGGGGTAAACAGGCCAAATTGACTCAGAATTGCCTCCAGTGATTTCAACAGACTTTCTTCTAATTGCCTTTGACCAGAAGAAATGAAAATTCACCAGATTTAGTGTCTCTCCACCAAGAAGGAAAAAAGAGGCAATGACGGGATGTTTTCTGTGTGTCCCGCTGCCAGCAGGACCCCAGACTGCAGCCCTGAGTGTTGCAGAGGAGAGGATTTAGGAGATAAGCCACCTGAGAACACGAGACACGTCACTCTCTTCAGTTGTCTTTAAACCAAATCTTCATTACAGCTCATACTGCTGACAATTAATTCAGTGTAAGGAAAATTCTGTATCTCACCTTCATAATTACGGAACTGTATGCAGAATGGGGTAAGCGAGATGCATGAACAAGGAGAAGGCATCAAGCGTGGATTGCAGGGTAGGAGAGGGCTGCTCAGTGATTTGAAAATATCTGCCTGTGATCACTTCTGAAACCATCACACCTTTGTAAAAAAAGTTTATAATATTTTGCATACTACACAATACAAGCATCTGTGGCTCCATTTCAGTTAAATGAAATGTTGCTTTTAAGATGTGACGTCACCCTGGTGTAATCAAAGATCTGCCTGGTGTGTATTTACAAGGAAAATGCAAGTATCCCAAGATTGAATGTCTTCCCAGCTAAGGGGTCCTCTGACACAGGACATTAAAGAATCTAATGACTCATGGGAAATGCCAGGGAAAGTCTTCATGCTTTACCACTCTACAAATGGGAGTACTTACTACAGAGCAACAGTCAGAGATCACTTGAATTAGTGAGACTTTGTTGTTCTTTCTAGAAAATGAGCAGTACTCATTGCTGACTTCCCAGAACACGTTTTTGATGAAGTTAAAAGAAGAATGCTGTACGTTAGCCAAGAAATTGGAACAAATCTCTCAAAAAAGCAGGTAGGCAAAAAGAGTATGCATTCACACTGTTTACACAAGTTCTGTCATGTTCCCTCTAAAAATCACAGCTCCACTCTTGTAGAGTCTTAATGTCCACAGTAAATATCTGTTGTTATCAGTTTCCTGTGAAAGTATTTTCTTTGTAGGAACATGTTCTTAAGTGCCCACACAGACAACCAGATCTTTCCCCCTCATTATGTATACGTGCTATTCTTTTACATTTTTTAATGTGTAGAATTGAAGCAGGTCACAAAGGTCAAGGTGACTTTTAATAATCTAATAAGTGATGGAGATCTATGAATCAAGCTGGCTTAAAAATCCAGTGCCGACAGCCTACTTTTAGTCTATTATCTCAGTCCTCAGTGAACACACAGAAGCTGTCTTTAGGTGAAATGAGAATAAACAAAATGTGTCTTCATGGACCTCAGAATCTATAGGCTCTGCATATATGGATTTAAACAAATGTGAGTGGAAAATGTTGCTGGGGGCAGTTAAGTGATCAGAGCAATCCCTCTAAGCGCTATTCACACAGCATTTGAATGGTATTGTGTCTTGGGTGGGTAAGGAGTTGCACTGCCAACCCAAAGGCAGGTGGTTCACATTCACCAGAGGCGTCTCAGGGAAAGATGGGCAGTTGTTTCCTGAGAGATTTATAGCCTCTTACTGCCTCTGGAAACTGCCTGGAGGTTTTCAAGTCAACAGCAATGAATTTGCATTTTTGAAGTAGAGTGAGTTATAATCTAGAGATGGCTTAGGAGCTCTGATCTTTAGGGAGGGAAGTTTTAGAGCATTTCTCTGCTGGCCTATCTCTTTGTGTGATTTACAGCCTCTGAAAGCCTGCTGAAGGGTCAGCTATGAATCGGTTCCAAGTCGCTAGCAATGAAGTTTTTCATTTAAAGATTTACAGTGTCAGGCAAGGGGTGCATGGCTGATGTACCAATATGAAGCCATTTTATAGAAGAGACTTAAGCATTCAAGGATTTTAAACCTGGAACTAATTCCGCATGAATTCTAAGAAGCAACTGCCGGGGGGATTGTGTACCAGGGAGGGAGTCTTTCTTTTACTTTTGAAAGAGAGGAGCGAACTGGAGGGCAGGGGGAGAGGACTGGGCGGGGAGAGAAGTGCAGCAATGAATGAATGGAAATCCAAATTCTCTGTAAATGTTCATTAAAATTATTT